CGGCGGCGCGTAGCTGTCGACCTCTGCGCACAAGATGGCGCGCGCGTGAGCGAAGGCCAACGGTCGGCCGGCCGTGCCGACGCGTGGCTGCGGCTTGCCTCCGACGGCGCGGCACCGCGAAGCCATCTCCCAGAGGACCAGCGCCATGGAGTAGACGTCCATCTGCTTGAAGGATTCCCCGTCCTCCAGGTTGACGCGGGACTCCAGCGCCTCGGGCGCCATGTAGCGCGCCGTGCCCACCTCGGCACACACAAAGGGCATCCCGCGTCACGTCGCCCGAGCTCAAATGACGGACGGACGCGCGTCGCCGGCGCCCCACCTGTCCGCTGTTGGCAAAGTCGTCCGGCGTGAGCTCGGCGCGGAGTTGGACGGCCAGGCCAAAGTCGCACAGGACCACGTCTCCGTCGTCCTTCAGCAGCACGTTGCTGCTCTTCACGTCGCGGTGAGCCACGGCCACCTGAAACGCGTTAGCGTCAGCCGCGCGCATCATCCCGGGGACCGGCGCGTCCGCGAGCACACCGCAAATAAACATCGTGCGACGCCTTCGTCCCGAGCTTTCGTAGCTTCCGAGCACGCGACGACGTCGGCCGGCGCAGCCGACTTTTTGGGCGCAAGATGAGAACGGCCCGGCGGACGACGGTATAAGCGCGTTACCTTGGGCGCCCCCGCTGGCCACAGAGTGTCACTGTGCAGGTGCGCCAGGCCGCGCGCCAGGCCGCTCGCCATGGTGAGCAGCCGCTTCCAGTCCAGCACGTTCGCCGCCAGGAAGTCTTGGAGGTTGCCCAGCCCGTGATAGGCCAGCAGCAGCCAGTAGGCCCCGCCCCTCACCTGTCGAGCGGCACGTTCGTCAGCGCGGAAGCAGGCGCGCTCGGTCTCCATTCGTTTCGGGACGTGTCACCTGCGCCCCCAGGAATTCGATGACGTTGCGGTGCCTCATGCCGCCGTCGGCCAAGACGGCGGCCTCGCGCCTCCAGGAGGCCGCCCGCGCGGCGGGGAAAACCTTCGCCGCCACCGCC